TTCTCATCGTGGGAATTGAGTTAACAGCAAACCAATGTCAGAGTGTGTTACATTTTTGTTTTAAAACTTACCTGGCTTGAACTCGGCCTGACTCATGTTTCTCAAACGATGTGCAACATGTTCGCCCCGCCTTTCATTGGCTTTGACTGCTTCGCCCTCCGGATCCCTGGCAACGCCGGGTCTGGTGGTGTTTTTTTGGCGGGGACGCTAGAGGTTGGGCCCTCTGGCATTGGTCAAGCTGCGGGGTGAGAGCTCGTTGAGTCGAGCTGTGCAGCTTCCGACCCGCAAGGTATGGGCAGGGAAAAGGTCTTCCACTTCAAACGGTGGCACAGTATGCCAGGCAGGCGGCTTGGAATGTGGAGTGTGGCCGAGGAAATGCACCAAAGAAGTTGATGTGGTTCATGTTGCATTGCTGAAAAGCTTTTGTGGCCTTGGTGTGTCTTGCATTGGCTTCCTGAACGGCACAACTTTATATACTGTAGTTGTTTTTCTATCGTTTTGAATTTGAGGCAACTCTTCCTTGCCCTCCGGTGCCTCCGGAAGATCAAACTCATACATGGTGGGCGTCCTAATAGGGGGTGGATGAGATAAACTGCAGCAATCAAACGGTAATCTTTGCGGCTGCTTATCAGTATCATGACACGTGTCTAAGAACAGGGCATCCAAGAACTGGCATCCAAGTCGCCTTTTGTTTTTGCCAAGGTGATTTAAAGCCTGACAATGCCACCTGGGCTGCGCTGAGTTCTGTGTTTTTGTGTGTCCACTTCGTTTCTTGGGCTGACCCATTGCACTGCAAATGGCAGCTTGTGTTGCGCATGGGTTGAAGTTCGCCCAGTGTCCTGCGCATGCGGAGGTCCTCATGACACTGGCGAAAACAGAGATCAAGTTGTGCGACTTCGGATCTGCGATGGATGTGGGCGAGGCAGTGAAAACAGCATACTTGCAACCTCGCTTTTATCGAGCACCTGAAGTCATCCTGGGAACAGGGCTCCTCGGCGCTTTGTGTTTCTGAACGGTGCTGACTAGCGGATGCTTCCTCGCCACGTTCTTCGCCTCGAAGCTCTGGGCGAGATATACCCGGCCCTTGATTGAAGTGGAAAAGCACCTATTCGGTGTTTCGGGTGTTCGGATTTCATGGTCGGCTTGATGGGGGGCCATTCCACGTAACCATGGAATTCTTCGAGGGAGTGTAGCGTATGGCTGGCTGGACCTCGGAGGCATGGTTTTGTGACTCGAAGGCCGCTTCTGATCCTTATGGGTCAATCTCCTGTTTCTTAAGCAAAGTCGAATGGTCTTCAGATGGCTCATGGGTCACAGACAAGTCACGTGACAACGACCAGTTGGGTCATCAGTCCCTCACCTTCCCTTTTTGGATCGTTGCGATCCTTCCTCCAAGTTCTCGTAGCACCCGGCGCTGTAATCCACATTGGTTGGCTGACCGGTCCAGTATCCACCGTGTGCAGCATCAGAATTTTTCTGGCACGAGGCACACATCATGTCTCGAGCCTCCAGGTTCACATGAGCAACTGCCAAAACCTTCGGTGAAGGCAGCATCACTACAGTGAAGACTAAGTAAGTAAAGTGAAGGAAACCTTCAGAAAGTGGTTTTGCAAGTCGCTCACATCAATCCTCCAGGTGTGAAAACGTCATCACGTCTTGAGTTGCATCACACGTAAGGTATGACACCCAGATTGATCTCTGGAGTGCCGGGGTCACCCTTTTCGAGCTGGCGAGTGGCAAGATCCTCTTCACTGGGAAGACGACTCTTAGGCGGAGGATGCAGAAGAACGGGTCAAAAGACATCGAAAGACACCGGTTTGGCGGAACAACACATCAATCTGCAGGGTTGGTGTGTGAAGATCTGTAGGGCATGCTCAGGGAGAGGGGAGAGAGAGAGAGAGGATGCTAGTAGCATGCACTAGATCAGCAGTTCGTTGCACACATACTACATCTTGCCAACAAACACCCGTTGCTCACCCATTTAAAGGTCCATTCTTTTGTCCCGTATCTCCACCCAGTTTCTGGTGAACCCAAAGTCGTATGTTGAAAACGCACTGTTTCCAAGTCAGTGAGAGAAATCGCTTTCTTATTTAAGTTGTGTTTTCATCTTCAGGATGGTTCAATCTTCTCTCAGCATTTGCTGAGGAACAACTCCATGATCCGCCAGATGTTAGAGGCTGAGACACCAGAGGGCTGGCTGGGCTGGTGCACATTCACCTGAGCCAGCCAGGAGTTCAGGATGCCGCTCTTAGGAGAGAGACAAAGATCCGGATTGAATTTCTTAGGGCGCCATGTTTTTTCAGCGCTTTAAGCAACAAAGAGTACTCCATTCTATTCTGGAGCCATCCAGGGCTGAACATGCTCAGTAGGTTGGTTGACATCCCTAGCCGGCATCCATTTTGTGATTGGGGGTCGGGTCAGGGTTTTAACCTGTTGTTGCCGACTATGCTGCCTGGATAGGCCTATTCAAATACCAACAAGACCCAACTTGATCCAACAAGCTTTTGTAGTTGGAATGTTGGATGTTGTGCTGGCCAAGTTTAGTTCGTTGTGTTCGGCATTTGCCCATGTTGGAGAAGTGCGGACTGCGGGACCCGAGTGGTGGTGTGTTTGAAGACCCTCATCTGACTCATCTGCAATTCCATTTCGACATTACATGTATATAACTACAATGTGTTTGAGTGTCATCAATGGCCCCATTAACGGCCACCCAACGAACTCAATGAGTTAGCCGGATGGAGCCAGAGCTCCCATTGCAAACCAGCGCAGTATCGAATAGTATCGAATCGCGTTGAACAGAAAAACAACCCAGGTACGAAGGCTTAGAGGAGACAACGAACATTGCCCCAATCCGGTCTTGATCGCAACTGGGACCGTTCCGTGCCAGGTGTCCGGTGCCTTTCCCAAGAAGCTGGCGACGTCGGGGGAGTTTGCCGCGAAGCACTTCAACTCCGAAGGCCTCTCAGCCTGGGGTGCCATCCCATCTAGAGTATGTCGGACCTTCACGGATCCATCAGACCCAACGCACCTCTTGTCTTGAGAGTCCATATCTGGGTTGGTTTCGGGCGTCCGGCTCGAATCGAAGAGAGCCCGCCAAGTGGAGGGCTGTGGGGTTAACCTGGTGCTCCAACCAAAAACACCATTCCTATGGTGCCACCAGCTTCTGTAGCTATCCACAAACCACTCATGTGTTGTCTCTTTTCTGCATCAGATCGCCTCCAGGTGAGTATTTGCTGAAGGATCCCGACTCAATCACAGGGATCCGCCGCTTTCCACTGCAGGGATCCGGGGTCGTCCACACAGGTGTTCTCACGCGTCGTCCGCCAGAGGAGGGTCAGGGATGGTCAGGGGATATTTGGGGCAAACATATATGGACTATATAGTATAGTATAGTTAGTATTAGTATAGTTGTATCCTAGATGGTGGTGACCGTAAGTCTAAGTCCGGGCAAAGAAGATGAAGGCATTTGCGGATTGTCCTAGCTTGGGAAACCTAGGGTAGGCCCCAGAAAAGAGGCATTCGGTGATTGGTGAGAAACGCGTGGCACATATCCTGCCCACTTGTGGGCGCACGCCTCACTTTCTTTACTTTTACCCCCACTGTACCGGAGCATTTGCCCGTGCCCAGGAGATATCATCCCTATGAAGAAGTATGAGAAGCCGAGGCAACCTGTGACTCAGCTACTGAAGATTCATGAGCATCCATGATCAAATTTGTTTGATGGGGCTTATACTCATCCACTGCATTTCACTCGCTTGTATGGCAGTCTTGTTGGCTCAATCAATTTCGCCAATGATGCCCAAAGAACTCCCAGTGCACCATGGTGGTTCTTGGATCCTTTGCAAGTTCAAGATATGTTCAAGATATGCAATTGAAACGGGTACTACGCACCTGCGCACGAGATTTTTGTGAGCAGAAGGTCGATGAATCCACTCATATTGTATCAGTATCATATTGGTTCATATTTATTTTACTTACTTTGGGCCCTTGAGATATTTTTAGGTCATGCCTTCTCAGTTCCCTTTCCTTGATCTGAGTACCCTTGGCTGTTTTTGACAACATCACCGTGCCCTCATCCATTAACACGCATCAGCAGACATTGAGGTGAGTGGCATGTTGGACAAAGTCTTCAAGAATCCGCCTCCCAACTCGGCTTCTTGGTTTGGTCGGACAAGTGCAGCGAGGGCAGATGGAGTTTTTCTGAGATCCGTAAAGGCCTGGCAAAGACCACTTCTGGTTATATACAACCTTATACACAGTATGAGGTGAGGCCAGCCCCTTTTTTGATGGCTCTGACTATTCACCTGAGCCCCCGGGGACCCGGAACACCATCAGATGAATTGAGGCTATTTTGGTCGCACATCCTCAGACCGACATCTTCGGACCCGGCCCGAGCGACCCAGGATCCGAAGACGCAGGAGCGGCTCATGCCGCGCCTGGCCGACTTGGTGCAAAATCTCCTGAAGCTGGTGCCCGGCGACGCCCAGCTGCGGTCAGAGAGGCAAGGGCCAGGCCTTTAAGGGTACGCAGCTACGCATGATAAGACCGGTGTTGGAAGGAGATTGGAATGAGAAATGAGGAAGTAGGAGCTGTCAGAAGGACTGTTTGAGGCTAGGTGCACCAAGGTATCTTGCCGAGGTGGTGGGCTTCTGGCATGTTGTTGTTGCTGCTGCTGCTGTCGTTGTGACTGGTTAGACCGTTTGACCCTTTGGGACACAAACGCGGCAAGGGGCGATCTGTAGAAAACCAATCTCTTGACAGGGACATGCTCCACAGGGGGATGACCGGAAGACAATTGGACGTGGAGCATACAAGATGACATAAGATGACCCTAGGACCTAGGACTCCCAAGGTTTTGTTATGGTTTCTTTCCTATTTAGAGCCTTTATTTTGGCTTCTTTCCCTTTTATTTTTACTGTATTGGCTCCGAGGGCCAAAGCTGGGCGCAATAGGTTGCAAACGGCAAGCAGCTGCAAACAACATGGGGGATTGCCCAGTGCACTTCGAACTCTGAAAGTTGGATTCCCAAACCCGTCCAAGAGCAGGAAGCCCTCCAAGACGTTTGACACCTGCTGTTTTTGTTGTCACAGAGGCCCTGCTGGAAGGTATTTAGGTATCCCATGAGCGCGTCGCAGATCTGGCACTGAGGATCGATGTACTCCAGAGGCAGCTTTGGCTCATCCCTTATTCCAGAAGGACAAATGAGGCCCAACCTGCGGCTTGTGGGTGGAGCTTGACATCACTGTGGCTTCAAAGGTACTTGTTTGCTTGCCTTCTCCTGCTTGCACAGGTTTCTGAGAGAATAGACGCTTTGAAGCAGACCAGAGGACCCATTTGTCTCATCGGCTGGGATGGCCAGGCGATGTTGCCGCAAGAGCTCGCTGAATCTGAGTGGAGCTGTCGAAGCGCCTGCTGTTGGTGCCACAGTCGCAGTCGCCAGAAAATCAAGGCAACAAAAATTGTAGAACACACCCAGTAGAACGAGTTTCCTGGTATATTCCTGTCATTTGTATTCCTTCATATTTTCTGAGCAACATTGTAGTACTTCCAACATCTATGGGGGAGGAGAATGTGAATTATTCGACCCATCTGAATCAGAAACTGGTCTACCGGCTGTCAGGGTCACGTTACCAATCTTGGACTGCTGCACCACAGCAGCATCCACTCGGATAGGACGCTCCCCCAAAAAACGGGTAAAAACGGAAGTGATGTTGATTGAAGTTGTGACCCATGAAGATCACCTGATTGGACCTCAGAGGATCAGGGACGGAGTGGCTCGCAGCTCGGATGGCCAACCAAAAGGATGGCCCATGGCCTCAACGGCGGCCAGAGCGACTGCCAGCGACTGCCGAGGAAAAGGGGTGACCGTGGTGCGAGAGAGTCCGAAGACGGAGATGTTCGTGGATGAGGGTGGATGAAGACCGATCCTTGTTTCCTTCCTTGCTTCTTTATATCATACAATGCACAATATATACTGTATATACTGTACTGTATATAATATATATTATATTTATAAACTATGTGATATGCTGATATGCATACCTTGATATATATAGTATTCTCTCCCTCTTTGGTCTCGCTCACTCTTTGCGTCCTGTTGCTGGTTGCTTGATTATGATTGAGTGGATGCTGTGGCTGAACTACTCACTTGCATCATCCAACTCCACAAAACCTTTGGGCCGTGCAGAGACATCCATCCATAGAACCTCGCAATTTCTTCCAAGGACTAGCAGCCGCTCACCAGTCTTGGGACGGCGAGCTGTTGCAGGTGAGATGCGGACTGAAGCGTAAGAAGCGTTCTCAAGGAGCTAGCACGCTAGGTACACCTAGGAGCTGGCCACTGAGTATCACTCTTTGCTTCACTCCTGGCAGATCAAGCTGCGAGCCAGATGCAGCCGCAGGGGACTCAGAAGTCGGCCCCCTGCAAAAGCCCGCCAAGTGAGCGAGCACCATCAAGCATCCCCCAAAAAGATACACAATTGATCATAATTGCACACATATATAATCATTTTAAATCATACATGTATATATACATATATATATAAATATTGCAGTCAAACAATGATCAGATGGCTGGAGAGAGCCCTAGTACTCTGCCAAACACCAAATCAAGTCAGAGTCAAAGCATGAAAACTCAGGAACGGGTCTATGACTTCCTTGCTGGCCGCTGTCTCAGTATCGGCCCAATGTAGATCACTTCAGCCCAAAAACGATGAAAAGGGGAAACCTGAAAAACCATAGGTCGAAAAGATATTATATATAGTACTGTAAATGTTTACGTCTATGGCATACCTTGGATCGGCACTTCCGATCTTTTATATCTCGACCCCAACGGATTGGACCCATGGACCGGCCGAGGCGCCATGGACCGGCGGACTCTTCGAGGGATGGAGCACAGCTGAGCCGGCGGAATCGACCAACCCGACGGAATCGTGAGTGCATTTGATGGAGATCTTGAAGCCCATAGATGGCTGTTGGGTCCAAAAACCGGAGCACCCTGGTTGACCACAGGAAGGGAATAGACTTCCAGGGAGGTCAACCTACCAGGCTTTAGGGCTCTGGGTTGGACCCACGGGCTTATACCACCGCATGCGGGGGCCCATCTGGCTTCGCTCACCCAGGCGTTCGCTCACCGGCTGGTCGCGGCCTCGGGAAGCCTCAAGTTGGTGACCGGAGCGACCGCAGCATGGGCTGAATGGACTGAGGTTTAGCTATGAGCCACCTTTGAGAACATCTGCAAAGGAAGAAGGGCAGATACAAGAGGCCTGCAAGCTTCACGAATCTGATATCTGTAGCATCCATTGGCTTTTTGTAGTATCGAATGGTATTCATCATATTGTTTGCTAAAAAGGTCCCGCAGCTGTACACAAGTTTGCTGCAGCCGCAGGCGGAAGTGCAAACAATACCCAGCAAGTCTCCTCTGTGCACCACTGCCCCCTTGCCGCCGGGACACCAAGTTGTCCGGTTGCGGAAAGTTTTTTTCATTTTTTGCAATCCACCAAAGGCTGTGAAATTCCAGGGAGGAACATTATGGAGGAATGGAGCCATCATCTGCACAAAGCTTCAGCCCTGACCCATGGGCCCATGGCTGGGTAAAATCATTTCGGGTCAAATCTCCTCTGATGGCGAGTTCCTGGACTGGTCAGTTTCGCCCAGTCTCGCGAGGCACTCGTCGTCGCTCTGCAGGTCTGAGAGGCCTCGAGCTCCAGAGCTCTCGCCAACATCCTCCAGGCGGAGTCAGACTGGTCGACTTTCAGACTCCAACTGCTTCTCTCAGGGGACGAAGTCTCCAAGCAAAAGTGACACTCGAAGATTTTTTTAGCTCCGAAACCAGGTGATTTTTCTCTGCTCCGAATCCAAAGGGGACCTAATTTGCTTTGAGCAGGGAGCGTCCCCCGAAGTTGTTCAAACGAGGGTGCTTCTCAAAGCCGCCCCCCACTAAGGGGCACCATGGTGGCTTCGCTCATGGGAGGCGGTTCCCCCGCAGCCAAACGAAACGACCTAGTTGAGGCCAATGGACTTGACCTACTGCCCTCGTCAAGCGGCCTCGCTATCACCTGGTCTTCAGAGACTTGGCTGAGTGACCGATACAGAAAACCTATGACCAATACAGAAGACCTTGTGGAGATCATCTCCAAATAGATCGTTTGGAAGTTGAATCCTTTTGCTGTGTGACTTTTGTACTTCCATGATCATCCATGTGCTTCCCCAGAAGCAATGGGAAGAGCACGGCACAATCAACGGAAGTGACTCCGCTTGCCCAAATTAAGAAGCACACTTGGAGATCAGGAGTGTTAGAGGCCCAATGAGGCCCACAGTTTGGCTACAGCACTTAGTGGCCTAAGATATGAGATTAGACATGATTTCCGATACACAAAGAAACCAGGCATTGACATCAGCATGTAATGATCTCCTAGGTGTTTCTGCCCAAAGAATCCCGTCCTCCTGTCCTTTCGTTCCATCTTTCCCTCATGGCCCTGAGGACTCGCGCTCCCCCAAGTCCGCCCCCATGCCCTCCGTGGGGGTCACGCGGTCCGCCCGGGACTCCGGCGGGAAGCTTCATCGGACCGGCCACGACCGCTCCGACGGGGACCATGGTGCTGTCCGCGCCAAGCATGGTGCAGTCTGCGGCGGCGAATCCACCAAAGACCTACTCCCAGAGCTGCTTGGATTCGATGGACGTCCAGGAACTGTTCGGAAGGGCTTCGGAGAAGGCTTTGAGAATCCATGACGCCGTCACAACGCGGATTTGGTCGGCCCTTCTGGTGAGGATCCTCGTCATATGGCCAGCCACTGTTGTACTAGAAACAGTGTTGAATTTTGTTCTTTGATAATTTGATAGAATTTGTTAGCCTGAATGAAACGCGCAGCGCTTCCAAACATGTCTAAACGGTTTCCCTTATTTTTGGATCTCTTGGGTTCTATGGACACTACTGTCAATGGCATGGCATTGCATCATGTCAGAGGAATGGGCTCCTTTCGTTCCAGGGTGCTGTAAAGAATTTGTTGAACTGGAGTTACTTTGAGTCATACTGCAAGTTAAACTGCCAACATGTTATATAATCAGCATGAGCCATTGACCTCAGTTCCATATCACAGATCATTGTCGCATGACGATTCCCAGATATTCCAAGGCTATCATCCGGTGAATTACTTTGCCATGCAGCATGACAATCAGATGCAGCACGCCATCCATTCAAGGTGAGGTGGCTTTTTGTACTGCCTTTTACAGGAGCCGTGGTTGAAGGACCCTGGTTGCTCTGGTGCTTCACCCCTGTTTCAGGGATTTGAGATTTTCCTTCAGGGACCGCGAAGGAATGAGCTTTTGTTCATGTCACGTCCGAACATGTGCATGGACCGTGAAGGGCAGCTTCCAACCATTTTCTGCATGACACAAGACAAGAATTGTCAGGCCCGTCCCAGAGCCACCGGTTTCATGGCAGCGGTCTGGGCCTCAGTCACTGTTTTCGTTTGGACATTCTTGGACACTCCAACTCTTGGACCTCGACTTCAGGGAAGGCAGAAAGGCCCTGAGAAACATTGATAGATATGGAGAGAATGCTTAACTTACCCAGGAATCAAGACGCAGTATAATATATATATATACATATACACGTGTAGAGTGTGATTAATAGACTTGACATACACCTTGACCCGCCTACGTGAGTGAAAGACAGCACGCCGGCTGCATACACGCCTAGCGGTGTTGCATTGCATCGTAGGGTGACGAGGCTCACGACATCACTCCTGTCTCTATCCGTGGAATGGTGGAATGGTCATCTTTGAGAGCAACGTCGTCAGCGGAACCATAGCGGAGCAACGTCGTCGGGCGACTGCAGGAACATCGTCACAGGTCGTCAAGGTCGTTTCTGGCCAAACATCAGCGCTGGCAGGTGGTGTTGAATGGTAGTTAGCTAGCCTGCCATCCACTGGATGTTTTCTTGAAAGTGAGCACTCTGCTGCAAAGGGCACAGGCAAAAGTCACTAAGAAAGATAAGAAAGCTGTGTAAGGTGGCAATAGACGCGCGACAAGACAAGATGGGACAAGCAAGCAACTGCCCTATTGTCTCAAAAGGTTCAGCCATAGGTCCTTGAGTGTCATAGCAGCCTCTTTTTGAGTTGAGTCGGTGCAACCAACGCATTGTTTCAATGAAGAGCTTTCCAGGCAAGCAGGTTGGCAAGCTGCCTCTCTCAATAAGAGGAGGCCTTTGAAATTTTACATCCAGATGCGGCATGGAAGAGGACCAGCATTTCTATTAGGCTGTCTTTGAGCTAAGAGACTTCATCTCTTTCCCCTTCTAGGGCCCCCTTCTGAATTTGTTTGCGGCTCTTCCTGGGGACCTGGGAACCCTCCTACCACATGGCTTCCGAGCCCCGCCGTTTCCGAGCCCCGCCGTTTGGTACGCTCCCAGGCCACCGGCGACTCCCTTGTCCCGCTGGCGTGCCGGGCACCGAGCTGATCCAGAATCTGATCGATCGGCGATCCACGCCCCCAATTGGCTTCGAAGCCCCAAAGGGATCCATGTCATGGCTGGAGGGAGCTCAGCTCTTGACATGGGTGGGACGTGGCTGCGTAAAGCTTCTCTCCATTATGGATCATCCGGAATTAGTTACCAGTTGTTTATGTTGTTATGAACACTATCGAGCACTCCAAGTTCTCGAGCACTGCAGACGAACCCACGAGTGATGTGAGCACTCAGTTGCGTGCAGGTGGAGCAAGCGACGACTCCGATCTACCCCATGCCAGCTGTGATCAATAATTCGCGACCCTGCCAACCAGTGCAGGTCGGATCCCCGTGACCAGCTCAGAGATGTGAAACGAACCAGACCTGTTCCATGCTATCCATGCTGTGCCAGCCAGAGACGTACTGACGGCAAGAGATGTCCAGTTTGGTGTTCATGTATCACCGGGTTGACCATTCGAAGTACGGCCATGTATTAATATTAGGTCCTGCATAGTGTACTCTATATGTATGTATATATATATATATACAAATATGTATAATATCCCAGACACTCCATGTATGCCATACATGATCATTTGTGATATATGCGTACATTGGGCTGGTGTTGGGGGTCAATGTAGGCATATATGGCATACATGGAGTGTTTGGGTATATATATATGATTATATATGTGTGTGTGTCATATTATTACTATTGCTATTATTGTTATTCTTCTTATTATTATGTGTGCAGTATGCACAATTGTGCACACTTTCTTACATGATATGATATTCTACATGAATGTGTTTTTCATTTGGCGAACTCTGCATGAGTTCTCCTAGAGAGTCTTCTTGGATGGATCAGTGCACATAGCGCCGTGACCGCCCTGACCCAGGCCCTTCACGGAGCCACACTTCCGGCAACACAGCCAGGCGCATAAAGACATTCAGCTTGGTTCGGTTTCGGCACTGGCTGAACAGCAGGAAGGAACACATGGCTGGCTCGAGTTTCTTTGTTTCTTTGTTTGGGGGGCAAGGCCGGTGAACCACACCCAACGAGGAATCTTCTCTGCGGGTCAGGCCATCCCCTTCGCATCCCATCTGCTCCGAACAACAGGAAGGTCCACCGACCATTGGGCCAGACTGGGCGCCAGACTGGGCGAATTGTTGAGGGACCCTCAACGTAATTTTGTGAGAGATGTGGCTGGCATTCCACTTCCTCCACAACTGCCCCGAATCCTGCATTGACATCTCTTGATAGGTAACAGTGCCCAACGCTGTGGCAGTGGCAGACTTAGCCTTCAATTGCGATCAAGTGTTAGCTCAAGAATTCACACCGAGAAACTCTCATGATGTTTCTGCTGTCAGCAGCGGGACATCGTACCAGCATGCAGCATAAATAGAATATGTAGTTGCATGATGTTGCATGGGAGTGCAGGAATTTCCGCTCATTGTGGTAGCAGATGAGAGCCCTCGCATGTCAAAGACCGAAGATGTTCTCTTGTCCCACTTTTCGTCGATCAAATCTAGACACAGTAGCTGAAATGAGCTTGACATTGAGTTGAAGCATCCGCGCATGGCAGGCATGGCAGGCTCCTCATGCAACCCGAATTGTCCGAAGGCAAGGAATGAATTCTCTCGAGAGTTGGGAGGTGCTCCTTGCTAGGGACAACAGGGGCAACATAGCCACAGTCACAACCTTGGTGTTGAATGTTTTGACACCTAATTGGCTTCATCCAGCAATACCTCATTGGGCCTGTCACCCTTGTTGTTTGTGGCTCGCTCGCGGGGTGTCCGCAGCCATTGCCAGAAGCTGAGCATTTGTGAAGTGTGCTCACGTGTGCAGGCGCTTCATCGCATTGTGTTCTCTTTTTTGTACACCCCAAGCAGTTCCCTTCTTCGAAACGCCATGATGCGCGGACTCCGAAGTGTGGCAGTGGTTTGCGTGTTGCCACTTGGGATTTCTTAAGGTCTTGAGGTCTTTCAGATTTCCCTTACTGGAACTCCCAGACACTTCCATGCTCTAGTGATACCCAACTAGGTCGAACTTTGAAGCCCCTCACAGCCATCTTGAAAACCCGCCGTGCAACCAAAGGTGACGTATATCAATTGGAGTGTGTTAACTGCGATTCTTTCAGGATTCTGCAGGCCTCAGCTTTCACACAGCTCTCACCCAGGCTGGGCTTGTGGAATGCCTTCACCCCACCCTTGAAGAGCGGGTGGTCGACGGCCCGTGATCAGAGTTTGGTGGCTCGGAAGGCGGACTCCTCTGGTCTCACGCCCTTTGGACCGGTGGTGACCTATGCCAAAGCACTCATGGAGGGAGGCAAAAGCAAGGGTGAGGAAGTGGCGGTGACAAAGGAGAAAAGGGGATGGGATGGGGGGGGGCATGGGAAGCACGAAATCATGTTTTTTCAACGGTTTGCTGGTGTATCCCCCTAAGATCGGCGATGTTTGAAATGCATCTAGCACTCCGAGATGCCAAAATCGGAACCGCCTCATGGAATGCGCTTCAGATCCGCTGGAGGATGTGCTGTACATCAAACTAATGTACGACTCGGATGAGTTTAAGGAGAATCTGGTCGCGGTGCTGAACAATCCCAAGCTCAAGGAGTTGGAGAAGGCCGAGACCATGGTCAAGCTGATGCCCGGCCTGAAGTCCTCGGTGACTCAGCCAAGAGAAGGACGAAAACATCTTTTGGGTGTTTGGTTGAGTGTCCTTTTTGCCCTGCAGGTAGCTTTGGTGGTTAAGTTTCTAGGGCCTGTTGCGCTTCGAGCAATGGTGTGGGTTTCTTCCTCCATTTCATCCCTAGAGAAAGCCATCCAGTGAGGTGATGCCCAAGTTTATCACCTTCTTGGCCAAGAAGAACCGCTTGGGGGGCGTCAAGAGAATCATGCTTGAATTCGTCCAGGCACCGATGTTGCTGTGAGTTGCGGCACATCCACCCATCGCACCCCATGACCAGAACCTTCGCCAGCATCTGCTCAAGATTGAAAAACTCAATCCTATCCTATCCGAAATTGAGACTTGATCGGTTGGATTGACAAGTCATTTGGAGGTGTGTCAGTCATGCCTGTTTCTTGGAAGGCCATGTACTTCAACAACGCGATCACCCCGGTGAAGGTGACTTCGGCCCAACGCCTGTCAGACGAGCAGAAGGATAAGATCAAGGAGAAGATGAGCAGCAAGGTAGGGCAGCGCGGCCGTCGCAAACACTGCGTTGAGAGATGTATTTGTTTAAACATGCTTTTAATAGCTTTTTGTTACTAGTTACTAGTAGTAAGGCACTTGTTACTACTAGCGAGGCACTTGTTAC